TGCAACATGACTTCATACTTCGCTCATGGTGCGCTCGTGGCCATTTCTCTAGCTTCACATATACAAGCTCCGTATTACGCAACGCGAATCGACGACAAAGGTAAATGGCTCATCCAAACATGATAATCACGACATGCGTGTCATGTAACAACCTTACTACATGCCACAGTGATCATGCACTCGCGGCCGCTCCGCTGGCTTCACATATGCCAAACTTGTCATTACGTGATGCCAATGAATGACGAAGGTATGTGACTGGTGGAAACATGATAATCATAAGATGCGTGTCATTTGAGAACATGACTACATGCCATAGTGAAGGTGCCAATACATTTCGACATGACGCGGTGTGTGTGCTCGCCGGCGTTCATTTCGTCGCGTCACGCCGGTTCTGCCGTATATTTTCAGGCGCGCGCCGCGCTCCGTTGCCTTGACGCATGCGCGTTTCAGCGCGTCCGGCGTCCCTTCATCACGAAAAGAGGCAGACGCAGTGTCGTCTGCGTAACAGATCGGCGCGAAATGCAGCATGTCGCATTTCGCGCCGTTTTCCGTCGGGCCGCGCCAATGAACGCTGATCGCGCCTAGCGTCAGACTATAGAGTGCTCGCGTTTTGCTAACATTGCGTGACTGTGCCCAGTGTGAGCGCGCGTCAACGCTATAATGGAGTATAAGGGGCCCTTCATGATTCACTCGCGGCCATTTTGCTAGCTCCACGTATACCAAATTTGGTGTTACGTGACGTCCTTGGATGACGAAATTATGACTTTTGCAAACTTGATAATCCTGACATGCGTGTCATGTAACTTACCATGCTCATAACGTGCCCACGGCCGTTTCGCTAGCTCAACATAAACACGTGACGTGAATCGATGACGAATATAAACTACTCATTCAAACATGATAATCATGACACTGAAGTCATGTACGGCATCATTTACCTCCATGCATCTCGTAACGTCATGCTGATTTTAAAACGATATACCAACATTTATCCCTCGTGCTTCGCATATTATCGATTCCCACTGTACGTGGGATCTGCCAAATTTTTTTATTCTTGATTTTATTGTGATAGCAATTATATGGATGCTCTTGGCTGAATTTTGCCACCGGACATGTACACGTATCTATATATATGAAAATGCAGAAAAAAAAGAAACCAGAAAAAAGACTTCGGCACGCGGGATCGAACATGGGTCTTCTCGATGATGAGTGTGACGCGTTGACTACTGAGCTCCTGAGAAGCACGTCCTTGAACGTTCAAAGGGAAGCTATTATTATCTATCACTTACTGCTGCTGCCAGGTATCTCGGTGAATTTATTGTGTTTTCAGAATACCAGCAAGATGCCGCATTGAGTGCGCGTCGCCACATCGTGCAGCGGCGCGTGCTCCAATCTCCCACGCGTACTTTGCCCCGCTTAGAGAAGGAGAGCAATGATTCCTCGCTGGCCCCTTATCTCGTGGTGGAGAGGAGCGGAGAATCGAACGTATTGGCTAGCCTCGGGTTTTACCTGGAACAATTCTGCTGTAGCTACCGGGCACACAAGGGTCACTGCAATAATTGCGCTCTGCACTTGCGAATAGCGTGCGCTTTTCAGCCACAGTAACCACTGAGGCGCTTCTTCGCGAGCATCTTTACATGTGAGTACGTTTTGTGCTTCATTAACCTGTGAGAAAGGCGGGCCACATTTTTATCTGATTTCTATTCTGTGCGTGGCCTTCTAATTCGTTTCTATCACGGTCATTGCTTAGACTTTGCTGCAAAGCTTTCACTTTTTCTCATTTAGTCATCAATATACTTTGCTGAATAATCATTCGATTGAACTTTGCGTTTGAAGGAATATTGGTTCTGTGTTACGTTTTTGAATACACATTCTCGCTCAGAGCTTCAAAAAGTTAGGACACTGCTCGATTCATAGAAATATGTTGTACTTACGGTGCGAAAGAAATGGTGAGTGCCACTTCTCAAAAGTATTCGCTGCATTCCGCCATAATAGTATAAAATCCAGCTCTAGGACATTATCTGAAGCCGATATGGTTGATTTGGCGCATGATTTATATTCAGCCTTCATGATGAACTATTTCAGAACGCGCGCTTTAGCGACGATGGGATGTGGGAGCGGAGGATGCTTTCGAAATCGCTGATCAAGTTACAATGAGGTCAAAGACTTTTCACAATGCGATCCAAAACGGCGTATATGTTGGAGCTAGAATTAAGGATACATAAACAACATAGACCCTTTACAATTACCTCCATATTCAAAAGCGCTCATTTTTGCAACTTAAATTGCGACCGCCTTTGTTGCAGCACAAACGCGTTTCAAGCACGCTACCTTGCGACGGTGGCAAGTCATGTTCTCTTGAAGGAACTTTTCTGCGTTTCATTTATTTCATTTTTGCAATGACTGTTCTTGAGTACTGCTTCCTGTCAGTACCCCCCACAGTTGCTTTGTAACGAACTAGTAGCAGCCATTTACACGACACAATCCTACCATTCCTAAATGTTTTTTCTTTCATTTGTTTAAAGGTGAAGTGGAACTCTTCCTTACTTTTTGCAGTACTATTTGCCAAGCAAGTGAGACCTAGAACCATCTGTATAGGCAGCCGAAGTCTGAAATGCAACCACATCAAGAATGGAGGCTTTTGAGAGTGGTTTTGTCAAGGTGTAGCCTTTCAGCTTTTGCTCAATCGACAGACGGTGGCTCTGCCTCCATCGCATACTTGGTTGTGATATCCTCGGGACGGTTTTAAGCTCTCCCATAGTAGAGTACCCTGTGCTCTAAATCGTCAACCCCTTTTTCTAACACCCCCCCCCCCCCATTCTAAATATTTTTTCTATACACACTCTGTGGTAATTGATGCCAAACACAAACGGACGTGCTTCAAACCACAGCGGCTATGCCACTGCCATAATTTTCTGTGCAAACAAGCTACGGCTGGTGACGAATGTTCATAGCGCGAAACGTGATGCAGGCATGTGTAATCGTTCCTGCTGACCTGTTTTCTCACAAGAAATTGTTCAATCGTCCTTGAATAATTAGGTCAATGATCAATATTTTTTTATTTTACTTTATTTATTTTTATTCATACTGTCAGTCCGAGGGCCAAGACAGGAGTTTGGGTTTTTCTTACGCCCCACCGCTGTGGTCTAGTAGCTAATGGCCTTTATACGCGCTATCCGCACAGGTGCACCGCTCTTGCCACGATCCCTGCCGCACGCAAGTGGGGGACAAATAAGCCCATTGGCGACGCTCTTTTACCCTCCGCTTGGGCGCGGCTGGTGTCAGCACGTGCGTTGCGGCTGTGCGGCGAGCGCATGAAACAGTCCTAAGGCACTCGGCCCCGCAGGTCGCGGGATGGAATCTCGGCTGCGGCTGCTGCATATTCGATGGAGGTGAGAATTCTGTAGGCCCGTGTGCTCACAATTGGGCACACGGTAAAGAACCCAAGGTGGTCGAAATTTCCTGAGCCCTCCACTACGGCACCTCTCATAATCATATGGTGATTTAGGGACGTTCAACCTCGCATATGCATAAATCATTTTTCTTTTCTTGTTTCTTCTTCCTTCTACCATGAAATACTTTTATCCCTGCCCCATTGCACGTGTGTCTGCTGCCTTGAAACCACGCGCTGATGAATAGGAACCTTACAAGTTATATTAGGAACTTCTGATGAGATCGCACGCACAACGTGAACATAAGATTTTGTAATTAAACCTACGTGCCCACAAGCATCAATAGAAATGCTGGAAGCTTCAATAGAACATGTACAGATGGCCACTACGCTTCACCAATTCTCTGTTTTTCGGCAGCCGACACTTTGCTAGCCGCTATCAGAGCCACTAAGCACGTTAAATGGGGCCTATGCTACAATACTATATCTACGCAGCAAGTTGCGTGCGCTGCAAGCGAAGCACTAAACAGCCCTTTCAGTTTATTGCAGTGAGCCCCGCCGCAGTGGTCTAGTGGCTAAGGTACTCGACTGCTGACCTGCAGGTCGCGGGATCAAATCCCGGCTGCGGCGGCTGCATTTCCGATGGAGGCAGAAATGTTGTAGGACCGTGGGCTCAGATTTGGGTGCACGCAAAAGAACCCCAGGTGGTCGAAATTTCCGGAGCCCTCCACAACGGCGTCTCTCATAATCATATGGTGGTTTTGGGACGTTAAAGCCCACATATCAATCAATCAGTTCAATACAGCGACTGTACCTGCAAGTGTTTCACACAACTAGATGTATCGTACTAAATATGAAACAGTTTTCGAGTGGTTTTAGCGTCATCTTGTGGTAGCAGCTGTGATAGGCCGATGGCATTGAAGTCAAACCAAATCATTGGCTCCAGAGCTTTACGTTCTGTGTCTTCTTACAATCTGTCTACTTCTTCATTAGTTATCTCGTGCTAGTCTTAGATATTTCGCGATACGTATCGTTAAGTTTGCGTGCTCCGTGCCTTTTTAGGGTGGGCGCACGCATCCGTTCAAGAAATACGTCATTCACTACCGGCATGGCTCAGTGGTAGAATACTGGGCTGGTACGCGCATGCGAACTTCTTTCCCGCAGTCTTGCTGCGTACGCAGGCTTGTTACTAACGCCCAGCTAAATAGTATAGAACTTTCTGTTTACCGGCGGCAAGTTCGGCCAAGTAACAGTTTCATCTTGAACGTGCCGATTGCTGCCTTAGTCAACGTCAAAAACCTGCCCCAATATGAGTCTTAAACAAATTGTTAGGCGGCCAAACATAACAGAAAAAAAACATGAAAACAGGACGTGTAGGTGATCACAGCCATCCCAATATAGTGCTTTTTTCGTTGCTACGTGTTACCGCTGAATGAAGGGAGCCAAAATAAAATTGCGCAACCTTAATAACACTGTTGATTAAAACTGCACCTTAAATACCTTTACTATATGAGATAAGCGCATTTTCTTACATTACGTGATTGAATTGTGTATTTATTAAGTATATATATATTATAGCCGTCATGAAATTCGTGGAATTTCATAACGGCTACCCCAGTTTTTCTACGGCTTGCATCACAGGTGAAGTTAACATGTGCATCCCAAGCATGTAGACGCCATAGTCCCGAACGATGTCAGCCTGTTCGGGCTCGTCAGGTACCAGAGCTTGCTGGGCGTTCTCGTTGACGAGTCCACAGCACCGCCTGTAGTGATTGACAACCAGGCTATTCACGGGCAAGTGCACATGCACGCTTCCATTCGCCGCCTCTGCAACACGGTGCACGCCCCCCACGATAGTTGTGCTCGTAGAGGCGATGTACTTGGAGCGTATGTTAGGCTCCCACGGCGTGCGCTCCCGAGCGATAAGTGCGCGACTCAGCATCAGTGGTGTGTGCCAAAGAGCGGACTGAACGGGCGGGTATTCGAAACAGAAAAACCAATTTTGAGCAACCAAGCTAGCCAACTTGCCTCTCCCTGTGGCTTTTTCAAACTTGATAACCAAATCTGCTAGTGTGCTACTGTTGCTCGGAACAAGATACTCGTCAAAGTCGGCGTGCACGGTGTATTCAGAGGATTCTTTAGATCGGTATATACAGTCCTGTATGGCAGCCATTTGCCCATGAAGAGCGACCCGCGTGCTGTTCGTGTCAACATTCCACAAATGAAAGCTGACGCTCAAATTTCCGCGTAGCTTTATAACGTTTAGAAGTGTCTCTACTTCGCTGGAAGCATTGCCGAGATAGACGCGATAGTGCTCGACTCCCATGATGCTGTAATAGGCAAAGAACTCTACTATCTGAGACAGTTTGTTATAGCCGCCATAGACAGGTCCAACACACAAGGTGAGTAGAGACTTTTGGTCATTACGCATGGTCTTGTTGGTATTATGCACTCTCAACCATCCAAAATCTTTCCTCGTTCCCGTTGTCCCCAATGCAACCCTCACTGGAATAAACTTTTCGCGTGGTGGGTAACGGCAAGAAACGAAGGCGGTACTGTAGTGTGGTGCCATGTGTTCAGCCACGATATTGAACGCGATGGTTGTTGAAAACGTGAACGTTTTGACGTCAACGTAGCAGGCAGTCTTCTTTTGTATCTTGCTGAGTCTTCCATAGTCCGTCGGCACGAGGGCAATGATGTCAACATGCCACACGTCGTCTCTTGTGACGAGGAAAGCCGAGTAAGGGAACAAATCATTCACTGGAGCTGTAGGAAACCCGGAATCATCTTCATATGCAATCGTACGATTGTATTCGGCACTTCTCAGAAGTTTTTGTATGATGAACTGGTCGGAACGCTTCAAGGCATTGGAGACTTGTCTGTCGTACTTGTTCGGACAGGAACGGTTCTGACGACGGCGGCGTCCTGCACCAAACATTTTTTTTTCAAAATTCATTCGAATAGCATAGGTAAAATGCATACACACATAAATTGGTGCCTGACGATTCGTCCATTTGAGGAAGTGACGTGAACCTGGTTTAACTTCAAAAAGGCAAGCAGTATGAACACTACACCGTCAAATGCATTTAAGTCAGTTGTAAATTTCAAAAAGAGTGAATAACAGAGCTCAGTACTTTTAGTGTTGAAATCACGAAAAAGTTATTTGTGACATAGTAAGGATGTTTTAGTGTTTCACTTGATAATACTGATGTTATAATTAACTTTTTCATGACCGAAAGAAAAGAAAAAAAGTTGCCACAATGAACAAATGCTTTTTCGTTCACCCTGTAGTGCTTCTTTTTTCTTATTTCAACGTTATTGTTAATATATTTATATTGCTTTCCTTTTTTAATTTAATACAAAATACCACAGGCGTGGTATTAGAGGTGGCAAAGCAAGAAAAGGCGCGACATACGTGGAGGAAGAACAAAAACTTCATTGAAGCAACATGCACAAGTAGGACAATTTAGCACCGACAAACACAACTATGGCGGATATACTCTTCAATACGCTCTACAAATAACGGGAAAGGATTCAAATATCAGGCTCTAATGTAATAAAGGTTTGGGGGCAGGCCTATTGAGTGGTGTTAGAGGCACTGGTCAGGACAGCAAGGAAGTGGACGCAACTTGCACGGCACACAAACTGTATTTGAGCACAAGAAGGCACAAGCAACAAAAATACAAAGCACATCAAGCAGTAGGAACTGATAAAGCGCCTTTAGCATTTAGTCAGTTCAAAGCAATGATGCGCTGCCGCTGTAAGCCTTGGCTTGATGGTCGTGGTTGCGTCGCAGATCGTGGACGCTGACAGGCGACAAGCGCCTCGCGGGATGACGCAGGTGCTGAGTCTACTGGGCGCCGAGGCAGAAGACGTGCCGTGTACGGATGCCTTCGGGCCTTTACGTCCACCGAGGTACCTCCGGCAATGTTGCCTTCCAGAACATTGACGTCCAGCGAGGCCAAAGCGTCTTCTTCTCTCGAGCTTTTGGCTCCGTCTGCCCAGCCAACGTGAGCGGTTGTCTTCTATTGCGCGTGCCACGCCGGCATGTGTCGCAAACTGCTCTCGGTTTAGTTCGCGTACTTGCGCGTTTTCGTCGCCATTTCATTTTCTTCATAGTGGCGCCTTGGTATCTCATGACAGCAGTATTACGCACCGATGAATGCATTGTAACATCAAGGTTGAAAACGCAGGACTCTTTTTTTTTATTGGCCGAACCAGATCCCCACAACGCAGGCCTAAGTTGTGATGATGAGCAAATATATACTGTTGAGAAACTCAAACGCGTGAATAATGCTCAAAATATATACAAATATATACTGAATTCCAGATAATCAAAATATTATTGGGGTATCAGAGGAAAGAAAAAGTATGACAGGCACTAAATATTACGCATACTTCATACTGTGTGCACACCTGGCATTGTGAAGGATGTGGTAGGTTCCCAGCAAGGTTCGATGCAGTGAACCTCATAGTGCTGAAGCTCAAGTTCACGTAGAGATATCTTCTGGAAGTTTCTTTATGCCTATTCTATACTTGCATCATTACGGTTAAACATGTCTGACAAAGATATGTCTATCAGTGCAAAATTATATAAATACACCAACCCTTCAGTCGTGGATAGTCTGTATAGTTTGTGATATGAAAACTGGTCATACGTTTCCAGACCTACTCGGTCAGTTTTTTACAGTGACTATCTGGCCAGCTCCAAAGCTAGCACTTTTATTGCGGCAGCAATTATATGGACACTCTCAGCTGAATTTTGCCACCAGCGTCGGCGTCACTCCCCGTATATGTTTACGTATCTATATATATAATAATGCAAGACGCCTGCGCGCGGAATCAAACTTGCGTGGTCCAAATCATCAGTGCGAGGCGTTAACCACTGGACCAGCGAGCAGCACGTCCTTCAACGTTCAAGCGACAACCTATTTATATCTACCACTTACCGCTGCTGGGGGGCATCTTGGTGGGGATTGTGTTTTCAGAATTACCAGCAAGATGCCGTAATGAGAGCGCGTCGCCACATCGCGCAGTGGCGAGCGCTCTAATCTCACCATGCGTACTTTGTCCCGCTAAGAGGAAGAGAGCTATTCTCCCTTGCCCACCCTTATCTTGGGGAGGAGGAGAGGATCGTACATCTTGGCTGGCCTCAGGCTTTATTAGGAACGGTTCTGTTGTAATTACCGGGCGTACAAAGGTCACTACAATCATTGCAGCCTCCATTTGCGAAAAGCTCGTGCTTTTTCAGACAAAGCAAAGTGACAACTGAGACGCTTATTCGCGTGCATCTGTACGTGTGGGTACGTTTCATGTGTCTTTGTGGGTGAGAAACGACGGGCACGTTTCGATCTGATTTCCATTCTGCGCATAACCTTCCAATTTTTTGCTATTGGGTTCTTTGCTTCGCCTTTGCGACAAAGCTTTGACTTTTTTGTTCTCCAGTGCTTTTGTCTACATCTCAAGCGTTGTTCTTTTCATTACGTTGTTTTTTTATATATTGTTTCAGGAAGCCGTGTACATCAAAAATCGACATGATCTCACTTGCACAATTAATGTTTGCAGGTGTCGTTAGGATATAAATTATTATAAGAACTGTCTTCACGTGCGGCTATCTTCATATTCAATGACCCGGCCACTGTCAAACTTGATGCGATGGTCCGGTCTGCTGCGAGCCTGTCGTGGTGCAGTGGAGCTACGTGTGTCATTTCGCAGTTGCTTTATTCTTTCCGGAAAGTTTCCAGCTCGCATATAGGTGACGTAGGAATGAGTGCAGGGAACTTAATTGAGTGGTACAAAGAGTCATTCGCTTAAGTGGCAGGTCTTTCGGCTGCGGCAAGGGTCGCCCCATTGTTGTTGGGGGTTTTAGTGCCATTCGAATACACTCCATCCTCAACCGATCTCCCCCTCCCCCGTCTTCGCTCGCTGATTTCCCGAATGTATGAGGCCGTGATGTGGTAGAGTTATTTGGGCAACCCTTCATTTGGGTGCCACACTTTGGGAAAACAAGCACGTGGGCAGAGTTTGTCTGGCTGTCAAGTCATTGGAATACTGAGCGATTAAAGCTACCTGTGAAGCCATTGTTCAGAAGGGCTGTAGTAAGCGCTTGCTGTTCGTATGTTAGCACTGTATATACGGATATGTTGTCACGGGGTTTATGAATACGTGGGAGACAGGAGTGAGCATGTTTACAATCTCTGAAAGTAGCTGTGGCATCGAGTGGCTGCTAGCATGCCACGTTGCACTGCATCTTCTACGTCTATTCTGCTGCAATGGCGGGGTCATGTGTATAGCCTCTTAACAATATATGCATGGACTCAGACAACCACTACAAAAGCCTTAGCTTCAAAGCTACCTGGACCCCTTGAAAAGAAAGTGATTGCGTCTCAAACTTAGGGCCAGTTTTTACGTAAAAAATTTGCAGATCCCACGTGCAGTATAATTAATGATACGCGAAGCACGAATCAGGAAGGTTAATAGGTCACTTTCAAATCAGCACAATGTTACGAGGTCCACGTAAGTTTGCTGTAAATGGCTTCCATGACATGATTATCATGCCTGAACCTCTTCTTTACCCTCGTAGCCTATTCACGTCACATAATACCTAATTTGGTATATGTGAATATAGCGAAACGGCCGCGAGCGCATCTTGAGTGTGGTATGTTGTCGTGTTCCCACATGACACGCATGTCAAAATTATGTTTGCACAAGTCGCATACTTTCGTCTTCTATTCACGTCCCGTAATACCACATTTAGTGTATGTGCAGCTACTGAAATGACCGCAAGCTCACCATGAGCGTGGTGTGTAGTCATTACTTGAAAGACATGCATTTCGCGATTACCACGTTATAGTCGGTCAACGCCGTTCACCATGCAGCCATGACACACCATATCAGTTTTGCAATACGCCATGTGATCGAAACCACCGCCAGAGCAGCAAGACCAAGAAATGTAAATCATGATACTCATTACATGCATGTCACGATTTTTACGTCATAGCGAGTCACTTATGCTCATCATACAGTCGTGTTATGCCCACACCAATTTTGGTATCGATACCATCATTGAAACAGCCAGGTGAGCTAACAGTCGTAGGGGGCTAGACAGACAGCCAGACAGACACAGACAGACAGACAGACAGACAGACAGACAGACAGACAGATAGATAGATAGATAGATAGATAGATAGATAGATAGATAGATAGATAGATAGATAGATAGATAGACGGACAGAAAGACAGATAGACAGACACAGACAGATAGATAGATAGATAGATAGATAGAGACACAGATAGACAGACAGACAAACAGAAAGATAGACAGGTAGATAGATAGAGAGACAGACAGAGACAGACAGACAGATATATATATATATATATATATATATATATATATATATATATATATATAGATAGATAAATAGATAGATAGATAATAGATAGACAGATAGATAGATAGATAGATAGATAGATAGATAGATAGATACGCTCAATGTCGCCGAAGTTAACTAAGAAATGCTTCGCATTAAAAACGACAGGCTAAACGGGGCCGTACATTGCCTAGTCTGCTTACTTGCAACGAGTTTGCTTACTTGAATGTATATTTAGAAAAGCGCACGCAAAACTTCGCGTTTGTGTTGCGCATGCTCCGTACGTCAAGCACTTGTGGGCTCCCGTTAAATGATGTCCACATCAATATGCCCGCACTTTTCACAAGATTTGTGTACGTTGTTCTATAGCTCTCTAATGGTTACTTTCGTTTTGCTACGGTAATATAAAAGGAGATGAGAGACTTTAGTAAGGGGGCATGGAAGAAGTTGGTATGCCAGAAACTCGCGATTCAGATAAGACTGAGATGGAAAGTAGAGTCATAGCTGCAGAATAGACCTTCTGCTCTTACCGAGGAAAACCAGTTTTGGCGTTTCTGCCAGGAAGGTT